TGGATAAAATATCCTAATAATTTTTTAGGATTTTGCTAGTTTAACATTTTAAGTCAAATTCAGATTTTACAAATACCAATTCAAGAAAAACCACATTTCAAATATTTTGTTCAAGTATTCGAGACCAAAACATTGTATAATTTCAAGAAGGATTTGGATGTAACACTTGGGGCTAAAGGGATGAAAGGATATGGGGGATAAGCAGGAACAGGCTATTGAGTGGGATGATTAGCTATGAACATAGTGAGTAGTGGATCAGGCTCGAAGGGCCGAAAGGCCTATTCCTGCTCCTAATTTCTATGTTTCTCTGAGCAACTTGCTGTTCCTAATTTAACATCAGTTTTAAAAAAACAAAATGACTGCTCATCTAAAATGGAATTTAATTTAATTTAATTTAATTTAAACGGAATCTAATTTGCAAAACGGAATTGTGAATATGGTCCCAGCAGTTTAAGAAGCCATTCTTTGTGATCCACTGAGCAACATATTTTGTCAACACCTGATGTTTAAGTACAGTATATTTATTAAAATAGACTCATGCAGTATTAATATGATAAAGAATAAGCTGAATCTAAAACAGGAATAAGCTGTGAATTTATTATTAATAGATTTGCTGAATTTATCAACCACAAGTTTTTCTGTATTTAATATACTTATTAGCACATGGATTCCAAACACCACCACTGCCGCCCCCATCCGCCCCCATCCACCCCCATATAGCCTGGGAAGTAAATTGTAACCTCTAGAGTTAGTCGCTTGGTTTGTTTGTTTTTTAATAGTTTGGTGTATGTGGGTGTATTGATGAGGCTCGCATTAATTGAGCATTCTCGTTGGCCTTGAAAAGGTGGTTGGTGAGTTGTCTTCTTAAGAGGCTCCAGTAAGTGGTGTTGGTACATGCACAGTGCTGTCGGAGTAGGAATGCCATTGTTTTGACCCACTGACAATGATGGTTATATTTCCAAGTCAGGATGATTCATAGCAACATGCAAATGGTGATGTTCCCAAGTGCCTGCGGTCTTTGTTCTTGGTATTCTAGCTTGTAGGTGTGGAAGGAGACTTGCTAATTTGCTGCCGTGCAAACTGTAGGTATATTGCACTGCTTCCAGTGTCTGCCAATTGTGGAAGCAGTGAGAGTTTGAGGAGGTAGACTACGGTGCCGATGAAACAGGGTGGCTAATCCTGGATGATGTTGAACTTCTGAATGTTTTTGGAGTTGCATTGTCACAAGCAAATGTAATGTATCCGATCAAATTCCTTTTCTGTGCCTTGTAGAGGGTGGACAGGCTTTAGAGAGCCAGGTGGTAAGTTACTGACTGTAGAATTATAAAACCTATGCTGTGCTGCCATTGCCATGATATTTAGGAACTTATTTTTTCTAGTTAAGCTTCTGGTTGGCGGTCATTCCCAAGATGTTGATTGTCGGACTGCAAATAGCTTTGTGATGGTTCTTGCTGTTGAATGTCAAGGGGATACAATTAAATTCCTGAGTAATCTTGCTTCATCAGAGTCCATCTTCAACAGCGCTATTTCTAATATTCATTTTGAGATCATAAAATCATTCCCAAAAGCCGCTTGATGTAACCTGCTCTAAGAAAAATAGTGTCTCAGTGCACAATCACTGTGCTTTCTTATCATACATAATCTATAATTGGAATTTACTTCAAAATACGGGATATGTTGATTCTGATTATGTTAACAGATCTGAGAGATTATCTAGTTAGTGAGCTATGTATGTGTTTTTCTGAAGCACCTTGGAACATCTTTAGGACTCAAAGCTGTATGTAAATAAGAGCTGTTGTACATGTTTTCTGTTGGTTCACTTCTCTCTGATAGAGCAACTTTCCTTACATCATTCAGCATTACTGCATAAAATAATGCTGCTTGCTTGTTATTACTTGTTAGTTGATTCCTTCTTTTTTCCTAAAAATGTAAACAAATATAACAGCAGGATTACGAACCTAATGCAGAATATTTTGGTCCGTGAAGCAGTTGAATCCATAAACACTGAACTAAACAGTAAACTATATCACTATGGGCTTTGTGGTGCTCTTCATTGATTTTATATTCCAAATTTCCATTGAACCTGAGCCCTACCCCTTCCCAACAATACCGTAACCCTGGCCTCACCTGACCATACCTATCTCCTCCCTACTCCCAACACCTGCCCAGACCTACCCTGACACCCCTGTGTCTCCTGACTTAACCCAAATCACCTGCCCTACCCAAGTACAGTTCAATGTTCTCAGAAGGTAGAAAAACGGAATTTTGACGTCTTGACATAACAAGTACTTTTATGTTTTTGGGAAAGCTCCGTGATTGGCATGGAAGTAAACATCCCTGAGTATTGTCAGTTGCCTATTAGGTTTGGTGAAGGAGGCAAGTTTTCTTGTCTTGTGTGAAATCATTGAACTTTACACCAAACAAGGAGCCAATTCAGCATAGTATATCAGTGCTGGTTATCAAAAATGCCATTCTATTGCATTGGTAGTTTATTAATTTAATGGTTCATGTACAACTTTTAGCAAAGAGATTTCAATCATTACTTATCTTATTAATTAGTGGAATTACAGTAACTGAATAAGTATAGTTATGTTGGGGAGAAACTAGATCCACGTCATTGAAATGAAATCAGAAATTGTTAGAAACAGAAAGCAGGCCTAACAATATTTGCAAAGAGAACACATTTTAAATAGAAACCCTTCATTTGAACAATGATGACAGATAATGAGGTGCAGAAAGCCTTAGATCATCAATTATTCAACTGTAAAACAACTTTATACTTACATTTTCTTTTGGAGTCAAGCAAGTTTATAACCTAGAAGAAGGATTGAATTATCTTGAGAGATTTAAGTGCAGGAAATGACAGCTGAATCTCCACGTGCATATCTATAGAACTGATGAGGTGCTATTTTATCCTTGCAGACATACTGAGCTGTACCCAGTAGTTCAGTGGATAAGGCTCATCTTAGCCAGGATACCTGTTGGACTTTACCTTTTGCATTAATGCCTATGGATTATGGAAAGTCAAGAATGAGCAGAGCTGCTGTCCCTGTGGCATTTAATGATCCATACTGTTACTGGTTATGTTTATGTGTTGGGTGAGGTTTAAATCAGGCTTGACCACGATACATTTGTGCCTGCAATAGAATAAAGGGCATTAGCTCTTGAATGAGGTACTAGAAGCCATTGAGTTGTGCATCAGCAATGAACAAATGACCCAGATTGTCTGATAGGGAGGTAGTCGTTAATAGGAAGCATAGTCAGGAATTGTGAGTTGGATCATGCAGACATGAATGATTGAATGAATGAATGATTTATTGTCATATATATCTTGAAGATATAGTGAGAAGTGTTTTGTCACCACAATCCAGCACCATCTGAGTTAAAATAAGGACAAAAATATATTCTTTGAACAAGAGTTCATCTCCTATTCAAATTGGCGTCAAAAGCATGGTTTCAGGGCTTCTGCAAGGTGTCTGGATGGTGTTCTGTTCCTTTCCTCAAGGAGTCCTGCTTGGGGAACAGCAATGATGACAACGATGCCCCAGGAGACGCTACCAGGAGTTCCGATTCTTCATGCTGCTAATGCCACAGCACCCCCGCCCCACCGCCACCAGGGAACCTTCCATTGTGGAGACCCTGCTAACTCTGTAGTCTGGTTTTTATGGTGTCCAGTGAGAAGAGTATTATATCCACACACATTCCTGCCAGGCCACCAGCCACAAGAGAGGCGAGAAATTCTCTGCCCTCCATCGTTCCAGGCTCACTCCGTTCAGAAACTGTGCTCAGCTGAACTCGAATGAGTGAAACTCAGCTCCTCCTGGACGTCCAGCACAATTGAGTCTGCGGCATTTTCTCAAAGTTAAAACATCTGGCAATTACCTGGTGTCTGGAACCCTCCCATACAGTCCCCACCCTGAGGTAGACCAGAAACCTTGGATGATGCTTACATACTTAGTTTAATAGTTACCCAGGAAATATTAGAGGAGTTAAAACCTATTGTAACACGTGGCTAACTATTAAAGTAACTCTACATGACCCAAAACAGAGCAACCCCCGGCCTCCCATAGATACCCAACACCACCACCACGCACACACCCTCCCCCTTCCCCCCCTTCCCCAGACACCTGACCTGAGCTCCTACACATGACTTCCCTCTGACATAACCCTGGAACTGATGCTGCCAAACCTCCCTGACATTCTATCCCCCAAACAAACCGGCCTGACTTGATCCTATCCATCACCTCTCTACTCCCCATCCCTGCCCGAGCCCATTGTTACAACACCTTCTGAACTGAACCAACTCCCCTGACCGACCCTAAACCCTCATCCTCTTGTTTGCCACCCCACCCGCTTACCTATCTCCTTACAGCTTTCTCACACTGCCCATTGCCACCCTTCTCACACTGCCCACCTCTTACCCACTTTCCTCTTTCCACACTTTTACTTAATTTACTCACACTCATTCTCTAGAAATCATTTAATAATACTGTGTTAAAATAAGGAAAACTTATTACATTTAAAAGTATTAAATAACAGTTACATTAAATATTTTAAAAGAAATTTAAAAATCATTACATCTACAATTAATCAATGAAAATTGCCTAAATATTTAAGCAGAACATTAAGAGCCACATAATACATGCAGAAATTTCATTACATTTACCTTTCTGAGTTAATCTCTGTGGGGTAGCTGATGCTGTTAAGGGGCAGTTTGAGATCCTCTGGCACACTGTGTGTGTGGCTTCATTGTCCTTGCGCTGTTTTGAGGCTTAGACAGCAGGCTAAAATGGAATTATCTCGGAGTGGCCAGACTCGGAGGCTTAGCCACAAAAAGCATGGAGCAATAAGTGGGCATTTCTTTCATGTGATTACCGTCATACGGCTCTATTCTGGGTCATTGCTGTCAGAGAAGGGAAGAGGTTCTAAAAACTAGTTTTTTTTTTAAGCTATGTGTACAAAACTGTTCAAATTGTTGTTGTTTTGTTTTATCTTTTCAGGTCCCAATGAGCAACTTTATTTGATATAAGAAAAATATCATCATTGACTTGCTTCAGAAATTCCAACTTGCCTGTAATACAAAAAGCCTGGAAGTTAACAGAATGGCAAATTTGGATATTGGCACAAATTCCTCTGTGAGCTTTGTTCCTTCAATGTCCATTGATAGACTTTTTCCAGCTCTTTTAGAGTGTTTTGGCATTATTCTTTGTGGATACATTGCTGGACGAGTGAACATCATTACTTCTACGCAAGCCAACGGCTTAGGAAGTTTTGTTTCAAAGTTTGCACTGCCTGGCCTCCTTTTTAAGAACATGGTGGTTTTAAACTTGGCTCACATAAACTGGAGTTTTCTTTGGAGTATTCTGGTGGCTAAGGTTACAGTTTTCATAATAGTCTGCACGCTGACTCTCCTGATAGCAAGTCCTGAAAGTAGATTTGGAAAAGCTGGACTCTTCCCAATTTTTGCTACACAGAGTAATGATTTTGCTTTGGGATATCCTATAGGTAAGTCTGTTTTAAGCAATTTCATTTAACTTGACTGTTGTAGTATTCAATTTTTAGTACAACATTTGTTCCAAGTTTAAACTACGGCTCCTATTATATTTGGCTTGAGGAGAAACAATTAAAGCTATGAAGAGGTAGTATAGATGATCAAGATCAAGTATCCAGATCTTTTTGCCAACTACTCACCCCCTGCCTTTTTTTATAAAAGATAATAATTTCAGGAAAATAACTACTTAGTATAAATCCTTACTTCTGATGATAAATAATGTCTGTTAGTGGCCGACATGTTATCAAGACATTGCAAATAGCTGTTTCCACTGTGCCAAATTTAGTATAGAAAATATTTAGAAAATATTGAACAAATATTCAATCAAAATAATTCGCTCATTAAGTCAATCTGGTAAGAAGATGCTGTGTACTTTAAATGAGAATTTAAGATTGCAATATATGTATAATGGAACAAAAGGACTTCCTTTGTTTCCATACAGCCCTATAATGTTTGAACTGGAGTCTTGCTAGAGAGTAACAGATTTCAGACACAAGCTGACAGTAATAACTGGAGATATCAGATCCTACAGTGCACTCTGGCTTTGATAAATCATTAGTTTAATTTTTGCAGTGGTGGTTAGTCACTGAACATACTCATAAAGGGTGCAAGTGTTTTTTTAACAAAAGAACATAAGTTTATTACATAAAAGGAAAAAACAAACCTATATACATGACAGTTTAGAAAGATTGTAACAGAAATAGATAAACAAAGTTTTTAAGGTTTTAGAGTAGATTTGTAGCTTGGGTTGTGGATGCTGTGGTTGGCTGGCTCGCTGAGTGGAAAAACGATGTATCAGCAGATGTTTCATGACCCTGCTGGGTAACATCATCAGTGCAGCCTCTGATGAAGCACCATTGTATTTTCCTGCCTGTTATTTAAACTCTGGAGTCCGTTGAGCTGGATTACCTTACTTCTGGTTTTCCTTCACAGCTGAGTGTATGTAGTGTCGAGTTCTGTGTGTTTGTTGATGGCTTTCTTTGTGGAGTACCAGGCTTCTAGGAATTCCCGTGCTTGTCTCTGCTTTGTTTGTCCCAGGATCTTGGTGTTGTCCCAATCGAATTGGTGGTTCTCCTTATCCATGTGGATAGATAGAGCTCGACCCCACATTCACTCCACTGTGAAGGAAAACCAGAAGTGAGGTAATCCAGCTCAACGGACTCCAGAGTTTAAATAACAGGCGGGAAAACACAACGGCGCTTCATCGGAGGCTGCACTGATGATATTACTCAGCAGGGTAATGAAACGTCTGCGGAAAAACAACGAACCAGCTCGGCGGGCGAGCCAACCGACCACAACAAAGTCTTTTTTTAAACCTGTTTCCTAGCAGCATCCTTTTACAGATCTCAGTCCCAGAAAAATAACCCTCATCCTAACACTTTGATTTCTTTCTTAACTGACTTTTTCCCACTACTGATTTACTTCTTGGGCTGCTGAAGTAGTTTACATCTCCTTCCAGGATTTTTTTGCTGGCTTGTTCCTCCTTTCACTTCTGATAGCTTAAACCTCTTTTCAGCTCTGATACCTTTAAGCTTCTAAGCCTCTATACAACCTCTCACAGATTGGAAACTTTTCAAACTAAACCATTCTATTAGCATGACTGGTCTCCTGAACCAAAAAGCTTGATCCATCTGCTAGAAGAAAACTGTTCCTCTGAACTGAACTCCTGATTCTTGTGGACTAAAGTCAAAACTAAATTAGTGGCCTTTTGTCTATTTTCTCTGTCTGTTGTAAACTCAGTGCAATAAATATTCCATCAATTAACATGACAGTTATCCTGATGGACTTTAATTGAATCACATGTTTGCTTGGAAATTATGCAGTTAGGTTACTGTTCCAGATGTTGTCTTGATCTTTTTTTTCTTAAAAAGAAGTTACCTTCATAGAACTGAATCCAAATCCATCTGACTCCGTTTTAGAAATCTAAGTTCTCAAATATTGATAATGTATATAATCTACACATTCATCACAGCAGACAGTCTAGTGAATTAGGCAAGCACTTTAGGAGGTGGAAGAACAGGCAGATTAATGTAATTAATCCTGATACAGAATCTAAACATTTCAGAAGACTTATAATTGATTTGAAATGTAAGGCTGAATTTTCCCATTTTTTGGCAAAGTTTTACAAGTGAGATTCATGACATCCAGTCCATCATGTTGACTTTTGTCTTGCAACCTTCAGTTGTACACCTCATTAATGAAACAACTAACCTCTTCTGCCCCTCCCTGTGGAATCTTGCATCTAGAATGTTGGAAATACTCATTGCTGCTGGAATTTAGTGACATTCATGTCACTAGCATCATATTTAAGCTCCAGCTGCATAGCATTTCATATGCTGCAAACCAGGAACTGCCCTCCACACTGTGGTGGTCCACTGTTATTACCGAAGACGTGACCCAGAAAGAGAATCTGGTATCTCACTTCCCCAGTAAGGAACCAGAGATGATGGTAGACAGGAAGAAAAGAGGGCCATCCTTTTTCCTGCTCTGCAACAAAAGAGGCCACACCACCAGACTCAGCCAGCCTGGTTTGAGGTAGAGACCAGGGTCAGGGTTGTGTGCAAGGGAAACACAATACACCGCAGTGCAGGGTGCTCCACAAGGGTAAGTACTCCCATACTGTCAGAGGCCTCCATTCACTCTAGCTCTGCCACTGTAATCTCACTCAGGTTCATGGACTGCAACCCTCGCTATTGCACATGGTGGCCACGCAGTGGCTCTCACTAACTCCATCCTCCCAAACTACAAATCCCTTCTACCCTCTGCACTTCCTATCACTCATTGAGGACAGCTTAACACTCATCTGCACCATTAACTGCATGCCATCCACTGTCATCATGCTTAGACCCTCCTTTCTCTTGGTGCAAGGAAGACGTAGACTGACGTACCTGTAATCCCTGCACTGATTTTCACCTGACCTGCAGAACTGACTGTGACCTACTCCCCTGCATTGAAATCAGATATTCCCCTTGATTAACTGGTAATATCCCTAACTGACTTTAGTCTCCCTTGATCCCACCAGGGACTGGTCTCCTTCAACTTTCAGTCATGGCCACTTGGTTGAAACACAGGCAATGTGTTGTTGCCCAAACTGCTGGCACATGCTGTAGGTAGCACAGTGTCATACAGTGCAGTGTTCTCCCTCTTTACTGTTCAGTGCTCCAAGCTGCCGCCTCTCCCTGTGCACTATGCAAGCTACAGATGCTTGTAGTCTCCAAGTAAATCCAAATGGAGTGACTGCTAAGAAAATAAGCTAAGAGCCGCATGATGCATCTTTTGTAGGTGGTTGTGGTGTGCATGTGTGTGTACACCAATGTACGAGGCAGCTTCTCATAGTGGTAATGCCACTAATGACTCGTAAACCGGAACCCCAGACTAATGTTCTGGAAGAATGGATTCAACTCCCAGTACAGCAGATAGTGAAATGTGAGTTGAATAAAACTCTGTTAATGGCAATCATTTAACTACTATTGATTGTTGTTAAAAACCCATCTAGTTCACTAATGACATTTTTAGAGAAGGAAATCTGCCATCCTTCTCTAGTCTGGCAGACATGTGACTCCAGACCCATAGCAATGAAGTTGATTCTAAATTACCCACTGTGTAATTAAGGCTGGGCAACAGATGCTAGTGATGCCCTATCCCATGAAAGTATAAAAAGAAGCATGTAAGTCATTAGTGTCCCTGTGCTCCGTTGTGCAGCCCTGAAGAGCTGAAGTGGTTTCAGAGTTGGATCGAAAGCAAGCATGATGATGCGGTGAGGCTGGTGATTTAGTGATACTAAATTGCTTGGATGAAGGGTGGAGGAGATGGTTTCCTTATGGGAAATTGCTTTTGCAATGTTGGGAATTAGATTTTTCTTTTTCATTGTTTTTTCTTAACTTTCTCATCATTACCCCTGCTGCTCAAAGAAGTTGAAAATTCCACCCATAAATTCTGTTTCACTCTCCAAAGATGCTACTGGACCTGCTGAGTTTCAGCAGCTCTTTGTTTCTGTTTCAGATTTTTAGCATCTGCAATGTCTTGCTTTTATAATCAAAATTCTGAGAGAGAATGAAAAAAGAGGTACACATGACTTCATGGATATTTAAGATGGCAGGGTAAATTGAAAAGGAGATTAAGAAAGAGTATGGGACATTTGGCTTTGTAAATGGAATAAATTAGAAAAAAAGTTATAAAAATAAATTCATACATATCATTGGCTAGTTCTCAGCTTGAGTGTTGTGTATAATTCTGAGCCCTGCACTAAGGTAGAATATGAGGGCTTTGTATAAAGTACTGAGAAGGTTTTACCAGGATTAAGTCAGGGATGAGGAACTTCAGTCACATATTGAGATTTGTGAAGCTGGCATTGTCCTCTTTAGAACAGCAAAAGTTGTAGGGACCTAATCCGCCCAAGGGCAGCACAGTAGCTCATTGGTTAACACTGCTGTCTCACAGCGCCAGGGACTCGGGTTTGATTCCACTCTTGGTTGACTATCTGAGTGAAGTTTGTACATTCTCCCCATGTCTGTGTAAGTTTCCTCCCACAGTCCAGAGATGTGCAGATTAGGTGGATTGGCCATGCTAAATTGCCCATAGTGTCAAAAGATGTGCAGGCTAGGTGGATTAGCCGTGGTAAACGTAGGGTTACAAGGACAGGGTGGGGGATGGATCTGGGTGGGATGCTCTTTGGAGGGTCGTTGTGGATTGGATGGGCTAAATGGCCTGCTTCCGCATTGTAGGGACTCTATGATAATTGAGATATTCCAAATTGTGAGGGATTTTGATGGAATAAGTGTGGAGAATTTGCTATTCTTCCAGACATGGGAACTAAATCAGTGAATCACACAACTTTATAGAAACTGAAGAACAATGTAGTGCAGGTGTTTGCTCTGGCATGTGGTAACCAGAGTTTATAGGTTTAAAATGAGTAACAGCAGACATAGAGGAAAAACTTTTTTCATGTTTAAAT